TTCGCAGCCTCCGCTCATTTCATTCAAACGCGACAAAAACTTAGGCAATTTTTTGGTCAGAAGTTCTTTTCAGACTAATGAGCAACCAGGCACTTTTAAATGCGCTCGTGCACGATGCAAAACGTGTCCTTTCATTCACAACACTGATAAAATATCGGGACCTAAACGATCCATTAAGATCACCGATCACTTCACGTGCACCTCCGCTAATGTAATCTATTGCATAACTTGCACTTATTGCAAAAAGATATACATCGGCGAAACAGGCAGAAGACTAGGTGACCGATTCCGAGAACACCTTCGAGACGTGGAAAGGAATGACAAGGACACATCGAAACCAGTCGCTAGACATTTTAATTTACCTAATCATTCTAAGCAACATATGGCAATCTGCGGTCTTTCCTTGCACTTAGGTGGCACGGAAAGCCGTAAAAATCTTGAACAAAAGCTCATCTTTCAAACCGGCAGTCTAAATCCCACAGGGATCAATGAACGCTTTTCATTCCACTAATTTATTCATGTTTTTCTCGTTGCCATGCACCCACCAATAACGTAGCTCCATTTTCTGCCTTTAAAAGCACACACAACCCACAATTCCTCTATTCGCTCCGACGAAGGGCTAACGCTCGAAACGTCAGCTTTTGTAATCATTACGGTGGCCAATTTACCATTTCAACTTTGTTGATATATCCAAATTATTTCGTTACTCCCACCGACGCAGCCCCAAACAGTTTCTTCCGAAACTATTAGCCTTTATTCATATATATTATATATATATATCTATATATATTATATATATATATGTATATAATTTTGACATTGGAGAACGATCAAAAATGTGGCAAAGACATGTATAAGTGACAAACTAGAAGAAACCTCAAACTCACAATATGACCCAGTCCTTTTTCCTAATTAAGGTTCTCCCGACATAACAGTAGTCAGATGTATTCCTTTTGAAGACTGCATGCAAGGCATCAACTTATTGTACTTACGTTTCCTGATCATTTTAAGTTGTGAACTTGATAGAGTTTCTAACGGACTTGAATTCGCTTCAGGGGAATGTCCCAGAAGGTAAGTGTTCTCGGTCACGTGATTACCCTCTTGAGCATTAGGAATTTCATCTTTATCTGTAACGGCATGGACACTCTCAACTAAAGAAATAGCATCATTCTTGTTGACATTTGAAGAATGTGACTCTAAAAAGCTTAGGCTGCAGTCGACGATTGTACCCAGAAGGCACAGGGACAAGATGTAACCACAATTTGCCCTATTGAAAGAAGAAAACAGAGCTTAGATTAAAAATGAGAATTTCGCCATAGAATCGTAGTATTTCTCTGGCTTGAAATGTGCGCTGCCGCCGTGTAAAGTTTAAAGTCTAACCGTTGTGAAATTGTCTTCCATTGTGATAAAAATTCGATAACGGACGCTCCCCATATCAAATAATCAATTGGGAACAGAAATCGAAACACGAAATACTTTTAGTCAATTTGAGTCTTCAAGAATCCTATTTTGTAAAATTATAATGAAACTAGCAGCTGGTACATTGGGGCGAGAACAAAATGTGGCCTCATATCTGGTTCACCGAAGTCGATCATCGGATATTGGCCCGCAATGGTGGGTTGATTGCCCAATGATATAAGTGAATGGGGAATTTCTGAACTGAGTTAAGTAGATTCGAACAGAAAAATCAGTAAATGCATTTTTCTCCCCACCCCTTTTGGAAAAATTAAGTGAAGGGTTATGGGTGTAGCAAAATGGGGCCTACCCTTTTAGGCTTAGCTTTTTCCATATATTAGCAATTATAATTAAAATATTCTGCCTATTCCCTAACGAATAACAAATGTAAGTTCCTCTTCGT